GTGGGGGGGGGGGGGGGGGGGGCGAAGACAAGGAAACAGAAAGCCCCAGACTTGAAATTCTGCTGAATCAGAGCTCCTGGAGTTTGCCTGGGAGTCCACACTCACAAGGACATCAGCAGGGGCCTGGGGTCGCTCCCATTAGCACAGGTGGGGTGTGGGTGGGGAGCAGTGTGGGTGGGGAGGAGGGAAGGGACAAAAACTAGGAGCTGCCAGCCCATGGGGGCCCCAGGCTGGCAGCTAAGGCAGGGCTGTTCAGGCAAGCTTCTCACTGCGGAAAAACAAGAGCCACTAAAAGCAAAACAAAACAAAAAAACCCTCCTTTTGTTTTCTGGCCCCTGGGAATGTCTTAAAGACAAATCAGAGTCACAGGGCTTCCCGCCCTTTCCTCTCTCCTCTTCTTCCTCCTCCTCTTCCATTCAAAGTCAGGATCTGGCAGATCTTTCCAGGAGCAACTTTGTCCCTGAGCCTTTTGGTTGCCTCCAACAAAAATATCTGGAGTCTGCAGGAACCTCATCTGCCTTTGCAGGGGACCCCAAGGACATGGGAGGGGGCGGGAGCACCCACACCGCTGGCAGGGAGGAGATGAAAACTTCCACCAGCCACAAGACTGAGACCGCCTCCCTCGTGATCTCTGCTGTGCTCCTTTGTGCTCTCTGGGGGTGCAGGGAGGCGGACAGGAATTAGAAAGGAGGGGCAACTGTCCCCGGTGTGTCCCTCCACTATGAAACAGCCCCACACAGGACAAAAACCTTACTTTTCACAGATGCCAGCAGCCACCCCCCTTCTCAAAGCTCAGGTATTTAGACTCCACACACAGGGGACCCCAGAGACCAGGGGGACTCAGGTCAGGTTCCCACCAGTACCTGTGAAGTGAGCAGACCAGGGTGCCCGGGGTTCCCAGACAAAGCGGGGAGAAGGTGACTAATGAGAAATGCAACACCTTTTGCTGGGAGCCGCTCCACCCACCCTGAGCCCCCAGTTTGTGCCTCGCGAGGACGGTGAGTGTGGATGCACCCCAGGGGCATCCCAGGACCCTATCCTGCCCACATGCAGTCACTGCAGGTCCTGGGAACCTGGTGCATTCCATAGTTTGGGTTTTGCAATTTCAAGAAACCCCAAAAAGTTAAGGACCCAACCGACACTCTCCACATCGAGTCTCTGTTCGTGGCAACTGCCTCCTCCCAACAGCCCGGGTGACTTTTTACTCCACCCTCTCCCCCACCCCCGTCAGCTGCCCCCCAAGAAAACCCACCTCCTGATAGCTGAACTTTCCAGCGATCATGAAACAAGTAGGCTCCTCTGGGTCCCTCTTTTGGGTTCCCTGAGGGTGACGCGGGGGTGTCCGTCACGGCGGGCCCCGCGTCTATCAGGACGGTGGTGGGGGTGGTCCGTGGTTTGAGGTCCAGAATTTCGGGTTGTCGCCGGCGAGGACCCAGCTCACGCCTTCGTGGCCGAGCGATCGGGAAGCGCGCCCCCTGGCGGTGCCAAGTACCCTCGGTCTACCAGACCCGGAGCAGGCGCGAAGCCACTGAGCCCCGCCGCGTTCTATCCCCGCGGGCTGCCAACCCGCTCCAACCCTATATCCGGACAGGCCCAAGCCTCAGATCCAGTCGGCACCCCCAGAGCCACCGCGTCCTCGAGCCGCCCACGCACTGCAGGGAAGAACTGGGGCACGGGAGGAAAGCGCGGCGCCCCCGCCCTGCCCGCCACCAAG